CCTCACTAGCCGTCCACCAACACTAACGTTACACCAGAAATCACAGAGCAATTCCCTGTTAAGCACATCCATACCAGCCCTACTGAAATGGGCATTAGAACGTTTCTAAAAACGTCTAATAACGGCTCTTTCATCTCCTCATAATTCTGCCTTTTTCAGCTTTAACAGCATGATTCTGCCTGACGAATATGCTTAAACTATCACGTTATAAACCAAGCAATCTCTCTAATCTAGACGGCTGCAGCGCTCGGTTGCAATCAACATTACACCCGCCACCCGATTTCTGGCAATCGGAGGTCACAATTATATTTCGTAGTCCGTTTAACATTCGGATGCAGAAGTAGCCCACACATTTATGCTTAAAAACGATCCGCTGGATTTCGCCAATAACTACGGCGTTTGCACGTAATTCACCTACAAGTTCCCCGTTTCTCTCTCCCTAATATCCACCAGCTAAACTAGTGACCGGTTTTCTAATATTTGCATTCTCATTGCGGAAGAACCTCCGGCTTAAGCACTTCTATAGAATTCTAAGCATCAATTTGGAGTGATAGAATTTCAAGCATTAATAAGCTACTTGAATAAATCGACAATTAGTCCCCTTTTATATTCTGGAAGAAATATCACGCTAAGCATAAACTGCTCTCCATCTAGAACATCAAACACACATGCGCATTATCCCGCAGGGATGCCTTTTCGTCACTCACCTATTTCATCTCGCAGCAGCAATCTCCGGAATAGAAGAGAAATGATCTAAATCCGATCTTGGCCGTAACAAACTCTGCCTGAATGGCGTCGCGCACCAGAGGCGCCGACGGCGCGGTGACGCGGCGCACTTACGACAGAGAATAGTAGATTAATGCACACCAGACTCACGCATTCATACTTTATCAAATAAACTAATCAATTATACAAATAGCGCTCCGCGGCGCGGCAGAATACGAAGTGTCATGAATTGTGGCTGGGCACTACGGACAGCCGCATTGACTTCCTTAGTATTTATTTCCTTCCTGTGAAAGTCAATGGTTACAGGTTTTCAGCTTTCTTCAAAATGTTGTCTTTAGCGTTTAACACGGGAGTCACCAACCTCTGAAACTAAGAGCTACTTTCGGGCACCGATTAACGTGGAGGGCTACCAGTTTGATAAACACTTCTCAAATAACAAATTGCTCAATTTACTTATAATTATAATTTAAGTTTTTGGTAATAATGAATAATATTCATCCAGGTGAAGTCACTGATCTTGTTATGATTCTCTCAAAGTTACCAACAATGATTTAACAGGGTAGGAAATACCCCGTAATTAATATATCAACGTGCAACACTATTTTATTTATCTTTGCAAATATTTACATTTTTAAATGATTACTTCTATATTAGAGAAAGCTTACTTGTAAGTGGCGTTATGGTGAGCTATTTTAGAACAGGCCTGTGAGCAACACACGAGAGCCTCGTGGGCCATCTGGTGCCCACCGGTACCATATTTGGTGACTCCTGGTTTAACAGAAATGAAATTTATAAAGGTTTGTAACCATTAGGTGGCGCTTAAAGCATGCGACCTGCTTATGCTTCCTTCCTTAAGCGCTGGAATAGAAGCCATTCATTTATTAGCTATCCAATTTCATCCTCAGTATATCCTTTTTACACAGATGCTGCCCCCTTTGTGGGGTATATTATCGGGGCTGCCAATGCGCTTTTAACGGGCAATATCGTCAATACATTTTGAAAAAAAAAAAAAAAAAAAAAAAAAATTACTGTTGTACATGTTCCTAGTTGCATAGGAAATCGCTGACTCTCTTTTTGCTTTATTTTCAGAAACTGGTATCAGAAGCAGAGCCGCAGCTGACTCCATCTCTCCTTTTAAGATGATAATCCCATAACCACAGCATATACAATTTGCGTTTTAGCATTCATTTATACATTTTAAGTTACCCCAGAACACCTCATCAGTTTCTCACTGCTCAACACATCCACACATTCCGTTCAATAACATTTTTGGTTTCAAAACACCTTAAAGTCATAGGACTATTCAGGCTTCCCACCAGATTCATAATCCAGTCACTCATTCAGAATTAGAGCCGTCACCACAGCAGCACACAAGGGCTATCGTAACAACACATACAAACACTAGGAAGGTGGTCTCCCGACGCCTTCAAATCTTATATCTGACTCAGCCACAGCCATCTCAGGGAAGCTCAGAGGACCCTCACCAGCAGACGCAGTAATCCCAGCGGCCAAGGGCATGGGCCTAGTCCAGGGAGAGAATACGACCCAACCATACCAGCTTCCCGAGGGCAGAGGAACTACCCAGTCTCCCAAGGGCGCGGGCATGACCCAGCCATCTAGCTTCCTTTCTTCCTTCCAGCTGATTTGCACTCAGCCTTCTCCCCCTTTTCACTCACCTAACTCCAGTAGGAGTTCTCTCCCTGCCCAGGCCCCCTTGTCACCCCCGCCTCCCCCGGCCGCTGCCACAGAAGTTTTTACTGCCCCCCAACTTTTCTAACTTCTGTAGGACCCCGCCCCCCCCCCCCATGGCTCTGGCCCCCGCAGGGGCGTTACCCCGAGCTTCGATTCCCGCAGGAATCATCTCACTGCCCTGGCCTTAGCTTTTTATATTATGTCATTCCATAATGACATATAGTATAGCACTATTTATTTTTCTCTCTGTTTGATTTTATTTATATAAATTTATATCTATATGCACCCACGCATATAAATATGAATTTATATATAGTGCTGTCACCCTCAGGAACACCCCCAGAGCACCTATACCGCCCGTCACCCTTCAGTAAGAGTCTTCACCTCCCCCTCATCTTTCCCGACTCCTACTGGAGCAGCTAAATAGCTCACCCAACCCCAAGCTGTGACACGAGTCATGTCACCGACCCTCCCCGGCCCTAGCTTTTATTTATGTTTATTTTTTGTTTATTTCTCACACTTATCTTTTATTTTTTAAATTTATTTATATATATGTATATATATATATGCACCCACGCATATAAATATATATTTATATATAGTGCTGTCACCCTCAAGCTCTAACTCCCGCGGAGTTAATCCCGAGCACCGGACCCCCGCAGGGGTCATCGCCCAACTGCCATTTCCCCCTTCAGCTGGGGCTTCACCGACCATTCCTTTTCCCGACTCCAGCTGGAGATGGCACATACAGCTCTCTCTCCCGCAGGAGAGCCAAGAGCTTTGACTCTCGCAAGAGTCAGTAAAAACGCCCCCCCAAGGCCCTAGATTACCCCATTATATATTTATATATCTATATGTTTCATATAAATATATAATTATATATAGTGCTGCCACCTCCCAGCTCTATCTCCGCAAGGAGTGTTCCTCGAGCAAATTACTCCTTTGGAGTCCCCGCCCCCCCTGCCCCCCCTTCACCCCCCTCTCCAGCCGTAGTCCTCCCTTCCCCTTCCCTTATAATGACTCCAGCAGGATTCCCGCCCACCCCATGGCTCTGACCCCCGCAGGGGTCTCCCCGAGTCTCTACTCCAGCAGGAGTATTCACAGCCCAAGCCAACTCTGCTCGGGTTCCCGCAGGAACCTGTTTCACCCTTTGCTCCAAAGGAGCCCTCTTTACCTTTTCTTTTTCAAATAACTATATCCAGCAGCCGGATATAGCATTTCAAGCCTTTTGGGGAGTTTCTTCGAATACATGGCTGCTGTCCCGAGCTTCATGCATTTGGGGAGCTCTCGAGAACCACCTGATCTCGTACTCCCCTCACATGCTCTATGGACCTGGCGGGAGACCTGGGCTCAACTATCTCCGAGCTCAGGGTTCTCTCCCGGGACAGCATGCCAAACCTGCTTACAGCTGTCAAGCAATATCTAAGTGTGAACTCTTGAAAAAGTTAATAAGCTTAGATCAATATTTTTGTGTCAGATTGTTTCGTTTTGTGGGATAATGTACATGCAAGTGTTTGTTATTGCAGAATAAAGCCCTTCAGTCTTATACAAAAGCCTGTCAGACATTGTTCTGTGAGAACAACCAGATGTACTTGATGACTTACTTAAAAAGCACTGTAGATGTGTTATTTAATGCTTGTTCACGTTCCTTTCTAACCTTTCCCACACATAACAACATTTCTTTGGCCCAAATTTGGCCCACACAATCAGTTTTTGCTTGGCACACATGCCACAGTGAATTATGGTACATGATTGGACCAAGCCTGGCTTCCACAAAAGCGGCATACATCTGAGCCAAGTTAACAATCCATAACTGGCTCTGAATTGTCCAGATAAGTTGGTGTGTAACGACTGCAATAGATTTAATAAACCCATAAAGCATTTCACTTTGTCTTTTATATCTTTATCTTCACTTTTCACTTTAAGTGATCTGATTGGAAGAATTTTTTCTTTACTCAAAAATAATTTAAATGTAATTTAAAAGTGGTTCAAGATAGACCAAACTTACATGGCTCACATATACATTTTTAACATCTGGTCCAAATACTACATTTGATATCTGGCCCAAGTCTTGTGTGTCACCTTAAAGACAGTGCCACCTCTGCCAAACCCGGGCCATGTTTGGCCCACATCCAGTATGTGCCAGTGCCGGACGAATGCCTGCTATGCCAGCGTTATGCTAAATCTGGGCCAGAATTCTTTGCTACCTGAGTTATGTTGCAATTTTTGACTCTTCCGTTCAAATCCTAAGCATTAAATACCACATTACTATTTGTTTACCAAACATTTCAAATATTTGTGCACATTATTATGCATTAACAAATCTTAACTAATTGAAATTATTATTATTATTATTATTATTATAAAAAAGTGTAACCATTTGTCTTTTTCAGTGCCTCCACATATTCAAAATAAGATAAATGATTAAACTGCTTTTATTTCTATTCTGGCAAATAATTACATCTCTTAAAAAAACCCTGAAACTGGAAAATATATGATAAAAAAAGACAACTGGGTTAAAAAAAATACCTTTCAAATATTAGTACTTTTAACTAATATATGTTTTTTTCTTCTTTCCATAGGTCTTAGTAATACCTGGAGCAAAGGAACACCAGCAAGACAAAGAAAACTAAACGTGTTAGACCTCCAACACTCCATCTATCCTTTTGATGGTACGATAGAACTGTGGATGAACTAATCTTGATTCGACAATATGCTCTGGATCACATTCTCCACCATGAGGCTGTTCTTCACGCAGGAGCACAGGGAGAGTAACGCAGTAATACTTTGATTCACAGACTCAATTTGTTTTTAATGAGCTGGAATGCCTTTCCCCTGCCAAGATAAAGAAGTTGAATGATGCTCAGTGAGCCATGCCCTTCAACACCTGCACACTCTCATAGACCAGCACAGGTTTGCCTAGGAATCCAAGAGGAATGCTCATACTTAAAATTCTGCACATGCTACCATTTAGCCTTCAGATTTCATTTTTTTTCTTCTGCGTATTACTTCTGAAGCCAAATCTTGTTGAAGTTAAAATGAGATGAGATGTGTTTGAGGCTGTAGGGTTGGTCTCAAGGACCTGCTAAGTGGCGAAATATATTTAAGGAGGATGTCACAAGTCTTGGGTTGATCTGCAGACTGGTAAAACTGAGAACACCTACAGACAAAAACAAGACTTCAGGATGTCTGACTTCACGAAAGGTCATTGATTGTAAATTTGGAAATCATAAACCGAAAATCCTAAAAAAATTGCAAAATGGCCGAACTTGCTGGATACAATGGCAACGAGAGCTTCATGCTTGCAACCGATCTGCCTTTCAACTCTACCGGTGACTACGAGTATTATGAATCTGAACCTGACGCCAGCAAAATCATCATCCCCTCCATCTATGCACTGGTTTGTTGCATCGGCGTCACAGGAAACGCAATGGTCATCTACGTCATCCTCAAATACGCCAAAATGAAGACGGCCACCAACATCTACATTCTTAATCTAGCCATAGCGGATGAACTCTTCATGCTGAGCGTCCCGTTCCTGGCAACTTCAGCCGCAGTGCACCACTGGCCGTTCGGTTCACTTATGTGTCGCTTGGTTCTCAGCGTGGACGGCATTAACATGTTCACCAGCATCTTCTGCCTGACCGTGTTGAGTGTGGATCGCTATATCGCTGTCGTGCACCCAATCAAAGCGGCTCGCTACCGACGCCCTACAGTTGCAAAAGTGGTCAACGTTTGCGTTTGGGGACTGTCGTTGCTTGTAATCCTACCCATTATTATCTTCGCAGACACCGTCCCTGCGCAGGATGGAGGGGTGGACTGCAATTTCATGTGGCCTGAGTCTTCGTGGTCCGAAGCGTTCGTGGTTTATACGTTCCTACTAGGGTTTTTGCTCCCCGTTGGAGCCATTTGTTTGTGCTACTGCTTGATCGTGGTACGCATGCGGGCCGTGGGTTTGAAAGCAGGCTGGTTGCAGAGGCGACGCTCTGAGAAGAAGATCACACGCATGGTGCTGCTGGTGGTCGCTGTTTTTGTGCTCTGCTGGATGCCGTTTTACATCGTGCAGTTGATAAGTGTGTTTCGCAAGCCACCGGACCCCATGGTGACTCAGCTCTTTGTTATTCTGAGCTATGCCAACAGCGGCGCCAACCCCATTCTCTATGGGTTTGTGTCAGACAACTTCCGCCGCTCATTCCAGCGCATCATATGCTTTCGCTGGCTGGAGAATGGACTGGATGCCGAGCAGGTGGACTACTGTGCTGTGGCCCTTCGCCGGCAGACCACATGCGGCCAACAGGACTTTCCCAAAGAGTGCTTGGCTTCTGATATGGTGTTTCGTAATGGAACCTGCACATCTCGTACCACCACTCTGTGAGAGGGTATTCGGTGAGAGAGTTTAAAGAGATAGATTATCCAAAAATGCATATTCTGTCTATTACTTCTGAAGTGGACTGACTTTCTTAGGAGGTATGTTGGGAGGACAATACAGTGAAAAAAAAAAGATTTTCGTTAAATCGTCGCAAACAATTTATATGGGCTGAATTTAAAAAAAATTAATTTAATGAAATAATGTTCAACTTAATTTTTTTTTTGTTTAAAATTAAGCTCAAATAAATTGTTTGCAACAACTTACCATAAATTGTTTTTACTATATCCAATGAATCATTTTTTTTCCAGTGTGTGTTAGATTTTGTTGACAGATTATTGATTATTGAATGATTATTTTTGATGATTGTTTAAACAAATTATTTAAAATGAGCTGAATTAACACAATTCTTGTTTTTTGGGATAACCTACTTGTTTTTTTTGTTCAATCCACTTAAATTTGTAATATAATTAATTATATTAACTTAATCGATTTGTGTTCAGACAACATGAATGAGCTGTGTGAAACCCAACATTTTTACAGTGCACAAAGGTTTAGATCAGGGTGAGAAAATAATGACAGAATTTATATATTTTTGGGTAAACTATGTCTCAATTGCTTTGTTCATTGAAACAGGAAGTCCAATATCAGTGGATGAGAGTTAAAACTATTATTTAATGTATTTAAATAAATACAAAAAGGTTGTTTTGAACAGTTTCATTGTAAAAAGCGATTAGCTACTTTACTTGAGTAAAGTAAGTAAACCTGTAGCCTTAAAGTTGACTTTACTAAAAAAATAATGAGTAAACCCATTATAACTCAGAAATATTAAGTTGGCTTAATTTCTATATTTATGAACATATTCATTTACTTAATAAATTTAAGGCAATGGGTTTACTCAGTTTTTAATGTAATGTCAACTAACTGCATTTACAGTGTAGGCATAATCAAAGTAGAATGATCAATACTCTACACTACCTGACAAAAGTCTTGTCGCCTATCCAAGTTTTATGAACAACAAATAATAACTTGACTTCTAGTTGATTATTTGGTATCAGAAGTGGCTTATATGAAAGGCAAAGGCCTCTAGATTATGCTTATTTTACCAAAAAAAAATGTGATCATGCCTTGATTTTTAATTATTTAATTAGGACAGTAAGGTCTGACTTTACTAAGACTAAAGTCTTGTCACTTAACAGAAATAATGTACACTATAGAATATAAAGTCATGGTGCAGAGGAAAAAATAATAATATTGTATATGACTAATATGAGCTTGGACCACGCCATTCATAAATCTCAGCAATGACTCAAATAACTTATTATTAAAGTCATCTGGAATGGCAAAGAAAGCTTTCTTGCAGAGTTCATCAAGATTCTTTGGATTCATCTTCAATGCCTCCTCTTTCATCTTACTCCAGACATGCCCAATGATGTTTATTTCTGGTGACTGGGCTGGCCAATCCTGGAACACCTTGACTTTCTTTGCTGATTGTTATTCAGTTTTATAGATGATTCATTAGATAAATCTACATTCTGCTACTTTTCCAAATGATCAACTAGAAGTAAAATTATTGTTTGCTGCTCTGACAACTAAAATCCATGACAAGACTTTTGTCAGGTAGTGTACACAAAGCTCTGAAAAAAATAAATAAATAAGAGATCACTCAAAAGTTATCATCACTTTTTATAAGCTATTATTAGCTTAAGGGAATGGTTGACATTAATAAAAGTACATGATATTATTAATAGCATGAACACTTTACTTCTAATGTGGTCTCATTTATCCTTGCTTGGCAAGATTTCATTTTCAAAATCACATTTTCCCCATGTAGACTTGACTTCACATTGGGTTAATGTTGGCCACATGAATTTGCTTTATCAACCAAGAAAATAATGCTTAGTTTGAAATTGACAGTTGTGTTGATATACCTCATGCAACAATACACAATTGGCCATTTAAAAAATTTAGCTGAGATGTCAAGCTCTCAAAACCTTCAAAGCAAAGTCAGAATTTATTTGTTCTCAGGATGCAATTGTGAAAGAATGACAATGTACCGTGTCTCAGTATGCCTTAACAATTGAAAAACACTGCAGAATTTCCATCAAAAGCTGTAAGTGGTGAAGAACATCCAGCAAGAGCTCATTATGAAGCACCGTTGTTAAATATGTGATCTTGTTAACTGTAGATTAACTGTAGCTCAATGTTTATATGAAACATATTCAACTGATTACTTTGTGGATTCTAATTCTGTGTACTTCTCAATGCATACCTAAACGCACATGACCACGACATAACAATGCATCAGTTCTTGCTTAAATCATTTTTCTTTGTTAGGTTTGTAAGCCAAATGGTTCTTACAAGTCAATGACCAAATTTTACTCTGCTTTTAAAATGTGTTGTGGGTCCAAACTGTTGATATTTTGAAGTAAAAGACAATAAAAGTTGAGTGAATCTGGCCAGGCGTCTGCTGTTTGTGGATCACAGAGTAAAGGGGGAACAAGATCCTTACTGGAATGGTAATTAAATTGAAGAGATCCTCAAGTTCCCGACGGAAGAAAACTAGTCTGCCAATGCTAAGTAAAAGTATAGTGTTATCTGTGCTTGTTGCATCATTCTCAACTTTGAGCAGGTCCATCCACTCAACAAATTCATTATCTTGCAAATAAGAAAGCCGCTGGATTGGATTCGACATCTGAAATGACACATATGCGGAAGTTTGCCAATTCCTTTCCCTTAACCTCTTGACATGAGTTTGCTCAATGCATTAACTCTTCCTTTAGAGTTGCTGCCACACACAAAAACAGAGACACTCTGAATCCAATATAAACAGCTGGTTTTGTTTAGTGGCATAATTCAGCTTTACTTCCTGACAGGAAACAAAAAGCCACTAACTAGCAAGAAATAGACACAGAGGTGCATTTAATCCATGTTTACCGTGAGGACGTTTCACGGTCAAAGCAAACACATCCTAAAGAGAGTTAAAGCAGAAGTGCATGAGCATGCTTTATAGGAGACTTTAATATGAGTTCAGCCAATAAATCAGGCTGGCCTCAAACAAATGAATAAATCAGAGAAGCAGAAAACCCAAATAAAGAACACATGTTGGGACATGCATTGTTCCCATGAAGATGACACGAGGGGCGAATGAGTATCTAATTTTGTATATGCGTGGCCTACGATTTTGTATGGGAGTTTTCATCTACAAAGAACATTTTTTTAAGTTGCGACACCAATTTGGAGTGCTATCAAGTTCCATTCAGTGACTCATTGTAGGTTTGTCTTCAGTGTGAATCAGTGCAAAGGACATACAAATGTACATTATTAAGTTTCTAATATGTACAAATTTGAATGCTAGAACTGAACCAGGTTGGCTCAGTTGTTAGTGCTGTCGCCTTACAGCAAGAAAGATGCTGGTTCGCGTCCCAGCTGGGCCAGATGGAATTTCTGTGTGCATGCGAGTTTCCTCCAGGTGCTCCAGTTTCCCCCACAGTCCAAAGTCATACAGTATATGTGAATTGGATGAACTAAATTGGCCATATGAGTGTGTGTGCATGTGAAAGTGTATGGGTGTTTCCCAGTACTGGGTTGCAGCTGGAAGGGCATCTGCTGAATAAAACATATGCTGGAATAGTTGGCAGTTCATTCTGTTGTGGCGACCTCTGATAAATAAGGGACTAAGGCAAAGGAAAACTAATAATTGAATGAATTAACCACAAGCAGATTATCCATGTGCTAAAACATGCATGAAACATTAAAGGGTTAGTTCACCCAAAAAGGTAAATTGTTATAATTACTCACATTCATGTTGTTCTAATCCCCTGAGACCTTCATTCATCATCAAACACAAATTAAAATATTTTAGATTCAATCAGAGAGGTCTCTCATCCTCTAGAAATAGCAATGTTCCTGGCTCAATTAAGATCCAAGAAAAATAAACACCCTAAAAACAGACCATATGCCTTTAGTGGTTCAGTAGTAAAATTATCCATCCATGAGAATACCTTTGTGTGCACAAAAAGATAAAATAAAATTAACCACCAAAACTTTAATATTAAACTATATTCAACAGCTTCTTCCTCTCAGTGACAGTATTGGCCGCCCTAACACAACACTGACTGTTCTATGTACCTTTCTGAACTTTGAACAAGTCTGGACCATTTCTATGTCTGTCTCTTACGCAGCGTCTAGGTATGGTGCACAACATGAAAGCCAAGACAAAGAAAATATAAAATCAAACTTTTATTGGGGTTTGAATTCAGGAGCTGACAAGGCCACAATAACAAACAAAAAATTCTTTGTTTTAAACCTCTACCTTACCTGATCAAAAATGAATGAAAAAAAAAAACAATTGACTACCTAACACAAAAACAGAGATCAAAAGGGGTAAAGCCTAAATAGGATTCGCAGCCGGAGGCAAGTGCGATATGCATCAATATAGCAGCATTTTTTTTGACACTATATAAAAATAATTTACATTTTTACAGTATTGTGATGGTTGGGTTTCGGCTAGACATTAAAAATACAGGTTATTGGGTAATTTGATAGATACCATATATAAAAGTCATCACAACAACTGTTTTTATGTTACTGTGACGGCTGGGTTTAGGGTTGGGGTAGGCATTAATAAAATAAAATGAATAGAAAATTGAATAAATAAGGTAAATAATTCGTGTTAACTTCCGGCCGCAACCATATCTAGCAACTTCTCAATCTAGCAACAACCATCAAAAGGTTTTACAAATAAAATGGCATTATATTCCTTACTATCCCAATATTATATGCACTTTTTACAAAATATTTACAAAACAAGCAACCACATTTAAGGGACAGTCCAAAAATAAGTGATGTGACGTTGTGTGCCAAGGATTCGAAGCATGTATCAAAACAAACGATACATCTCGCAGTGAAGCAGTCTAGCGGAGCTTGATTTGTTTGCCAACAACATCAGTGACATCCGAAGCTTTATTTTGGCCTATACCCACATGACTGCTTCGAATTTTGATTCAAAGGTTTAAACACCCTCATGGGTTAGTTAGGTGTATAGCGAGAGATTAGGTGTCGATTACATACATTTCAACTGTTTCAAAGCAATGCACCGGTCCCACACACCAATAATTAAACTAAAATACAATAGTAATTTCAAGTAAAAAGGTTTTGAACCAAT